TTACGCAAGTCTGGGAGGTCTTTTTGGCGAAGCACACAGCTCATACGGTCTGTTGGTGTGGTGGAAACCTTTGGACACCTCTGAAACCAAAGAAGGACCCTTATGCTTGCCAGCCCAAAGGCTTAAACCGCGCTGTTCAGCTGCGGTTTTACGTCCCCTCTGGTTTAATGGAGCGTTTTTGTTGGGTCGCAATAAAGCCACCAAAGAAGAGTCAGCAGATGTTTTTGGCCTGAAATTCAGACAACTTAGTTTAGTAACTTGCACAATCATCTGAGTTCTCCAGTTTGTCCAACCAATGTCAGCATTTTGCCATACACCGCGGCGTCATGTATTCAGTCGTGTGCGGATAGCACAGTTCACCCAACCGCTTTTGGGTGCTCGGGAAGCCAATCAGAATCCCTGGCGATCGTTTTTCCTCAATAGCGCACATTCCTTCCAGGAAGTCTCTTTTCCCTCGCGCTTTGGCTTCCCTTTTGATTGAAGCCACGTGCTAAAAAATGGATTTGGGTTCAAACTGAAAACAAATGACCGCCAGGGCTTTTTTGACCTTTTGGGCACCCAGCGGTCCCTGGGAAAAGTCGGAGCGCGAGTCGCGAGGGCTGAACTTCCCAAGAGCGGCCCCAGACTGGGCGACTTCCTGAGGTTGGACTTCGTGGTGGGGGGCCTCGCCAGCTGCGGCACCACCACGGTGGCCAAGACCCTGGCGCAGGCGATCCGACCCGATTTCCGATCCGGCGAGCCCTGCGCTGAAAAAAAAACCCGGTGATGGGCATCTCTGGTGAACCATCTCCAAAAAGGGTGGGACATCCAGGATGAACAAGTATATATATATATATGTATAAATATATATATATATATATATGTTTAATTCCCATTTGAAGAGCAATCCGAACGGACAACTATACATCTGCAAATCCGCACGGTCCGGACAGGGGTCAACATGACTATGTTTCTTTGGAGGTAAGGGCTAGAGCCCATACATGCTCTTCAGTTGGAAAGGAAGTATATTTACCTTGCGTGATACGTCACCTTCGTACCGCGAAAAAGAAACCATGCCTGAAAGTTCCCTTGACAGGTCAGAGATGCGGGGTCCGTTTGTTCCAAGGATCAAGGTTGTGTGTTTTGTCTCGTTTTGTCTTTTGCGTCTGCAACCATTGCAGTGTTCCTCCTAGGATGGACAAGTCTGGACGTGCACACAGTGTTGGTGGTTTCTAGATGAATTGCGAGTGAGGAAAGAGGAGGGACTCTGAATGCAAAAAACTTAAAGGCTGGCCACCGGCGATTCCTTAAATATGCCAGTGCTGGGAGCCTGGGAATCTGTGAGGAGACGGAGGGTTGTGAACATATTCGGGAGTGAACCGAACCAAGGACTGCCGATGTTAAATCAACGGGCGGGAGTTCTAGGATTCCAACCGTCATGTGGATTCCAAATGTGGGTGTGGCCCGAACTGTTTCAAAGAGAGAAGCAAGAGGTGACACATGGGGCAAGCTGGGCTAGCTTCTCTCCCTCTACTTGCCTAGTCTGAACTGTCCGCAATATCGACAAGTATCTTGTTCCTCGGGAGCAGTTTTCAGCTACTGGATCTCTCTGTCAAACACGAGTCTGTGGTTCCAATTACCGTCCAAAAATGGCCAGTGTCCAAGGCGGAGATTGGAATTCGGGATGAAGACAAAGGTTTTGGTACTCAAAGGCACATTTAATCTTGAACTTGTGAGCCCTGGTTAAGACCCTGTCAGCCAGCTCGCTCAGCTTTTGGGTCGGTGCTGGTGCTTTTTTTGACCACAGGCGCCGGACATCGACTTCACCGTGGATGGCGAGGACGAGGGGTTTCGCGCGAAGGGGTTTCGCGGGGACCAGGTTTCTATCAATGGTTATCGTGAAAGCTGGTGTAGAAAGTTAAAGCGAGTTCCCTTTGAAGTTGAGGATGTCACTTTAGTGTAGCCAGTTTTTGGCTGGTTTATCAAAACAAAGGACGAACCACAAAAGGTGCGGCGTAGACCACCTTTTGACTTCTCTCCCACAAATGAACATGGAACCCCAAATCCACCTTTTGAGCATGCACTTTGCAAACCCCTGCAAAACGATAAGAGTAAAAAAAAACGATAACACGTTTGGGGGACAGCTAAATTGTCACGGGGTTTTTTTACAACCCCATCTGGAGAAAGATCTCCTTTTGGCGCATTTCAGGGGAAGATGTTTGTTGGGGCCATTTTCTGTGAGCTTTCCTCCGATGTTAGTTGGTACTGTTGAGTTGAGGAATAGAAGGGGGGGACAGCCGAATCTCAACCGCAAAAAGCAAGTTGACAACCCAAGTTTCCCATGTCCTCACGTGATTTTGTCCGGGACTCAGGTGATGGGGGAGGATTTGCTGGACATGTTGGTGAAATGGATGAACTGGGACTGGTTCCCTCGTCTCAGGAAACTGCCATCGGTAAAACACTGAATATCAGTGCAGATGTTGATGAATGGAGGAACTCCTGCATCCGTCTGGATAGCCTT